CTTTTTAAACATCTTTGCCGGGTGAGGAAGGCAGTGAGCTTCACAACACTAGTGTGAGTTTTGTCGAGCCTTTTTGGATAACCTAATAAAGATGTCACCATGATGTGTATTTTGGAGTTTCTTGCATGTTTGAGATGGGGAGCAGCATTAATATGAAACACCCCATTTCCCCTTTTCCTTTTGGGAATCTAACCTGTAGGAGAAAGTATTCCCAAGCAATGCTTGGTCCTTTCTGTTTGAACTAAAAGCGGAACCGTGTTGGTTTCGCTCAGTGTTTCAAGAGATGGGCAATGTCGGCATCCTCATTAAGATGGATCCGACATTCCCCAGTGCCAATAAATCCAGTTGTTATTCCGCAGCATTAGAAGCATGTCAACATAAAGCAGGTGGAGGTGGAATAAGATTTCTGGTTAAAACTGGCTCCGAAGAGAACAAGTACAACCCTTAGGGGGATTAAAACTCATTCAAAGTCATGCCTGTGATTTTTTTCAACAGAGGTATAATTAAGAAGGGGAACTTTTAATGGTTGCTCTTTCCAGTTGCTTTCCTCCATGACCTTCAGAAATGCAGAACTTGAGGCATGCTCCTTCACCTTTTTGTTCACAACACAATACAGGTTATCCAGTTCTCAATATAATCCCCCCCCCAAAAAAAGAACAAGAGGCCAACATTATATGGGAGGTAATGAAGACACTTTATTGGGACAAAAAAGTATTTAAAATAACATGGGATTTCCAAAACACATTTTCCCAAGGAAACACAGTCTATACAAAAGCCATCGGCAACCAACTTGGCTGGTTTGCAACCAATATCTACAGCTACATAGAATAAAATAAAATAAAATAAAATAATAAACACACAGTGACTTCAAGGTATCAAACCCCCATTTGTTTTCATTTCCTCCCTCTGTGACCAAATTCCTGTTCTAGGTAAGTCTTCAGAGACAGCAAAAGAGGTATTTCCCAAAGAACATGGATCATTTATCTACCTGGGTATATTTTCAGCAAGGGCAATATTTTATAGTCCCAGAGGAAAAATGCCCTGCCAGCAGGGGAGAATACGTATTAAAAGCTCTTTCTCCCTGGCCTATTGCAGGCTATCTTCCGATAGGAGATGAGAGAAAGAAATGGACATTTGAATCTGGGTATAAATCCAAAGCTGGGATTCTGGAACAGTCTCTCCTTCCCCTGTTCTTCATATACAATGCTCAGATTGTCTGCAGGACTCCCTGTGGATCATGGCTCCAGTTTGAGCTTGTTGGATGTCACAGTGATTCCAGAGTCAGATGCTTCATCTCCCACTTGCCATGTACTCCGAAGTCAAATGTTCTCCAAGTTGCGCAATGTTGCTCTTCAACACAAGGTTGACTTTGTGTATTCACTGCATCATGGGCTTCACATTTACCCAACCCTGATATGGATCTTGACTGATATTTTTGTCCAGACAATAACACATACAGCCTAATTCTTGGCTCTTGCATTGGCACTTCGTAGCAACTTGGGATGGAGAAGTGGCCCTACCATTAGGCAGACCCAGGTAGTGCACCTCAGCCTACTTTTGGGGGGGAACAATTTGAATATCTAGCCTGAGTATGTAGACTATTATAATTTCTTGCCACCTGGCAGCATGGATGATGTCTTTGCTCCCCTTCAAATCACCGTCCCTTGGGCCTTCACTCTTTGGATTTTACCATACAGCTTCCTGCTGTCATGTCTCTTGTGTCAACAGAACCGGGCTAGATCAGGATGACTATGTGGAAAGTGCAATTAAATGAAAAATGTGGATACTTCTTGGCATTGGGAGAGGAAGGAAGAGAGACCTGGGGAAAGGGGTGGGATTTCTTCTCTGAGGATGCCTCCACTCTTCATGTTCTGGTTGGAGGTGAAGATGGAGACACACACAAAACCTTGGGTCTTTCTTCTGGGGAAGTCCTTCTTAGGAGAGGAGCTTGTAGCCCAGAGAGATGGGAAGGAGCGCCAGGAGAAAGGAGCTAGCGTGAGCCACGGAAACACCACTGTGAGGAGGTCCTTTGGTCCACTGGTGGGAGGAAGCCAAGTTGGGGTGGACCACCGTTGCGTTGTGGAGCATGTGGCTGTCGGTTGTGTTGTTGAGGGGCGTTGGGCGATGGGAACCGGAGGTGGGCTCAGAGGCGGTTGATGGTGTTGCGACAACAGTTGTGGTCATGCCTGATGGGGGAGAAATCGAAACAAACACAGCTGAGACACTGCTGTTAGACAAAGACATGGAGACTGCTGCCACATTTCAGCCTTAATGCACTTTGACACCACTTTACCTGTCATCACTCCATCCTCTGGACTCTTGGGATTTGTGGTTTGTTGTGGCACCAGAGAAGGCTAAAGATATCACCAAACCACAGATACCTGAATTTGATAGCATTGAGACATGGCAGTTAAAGTGGTGTCAGACTGCATTCATTCTGCAGTGTAGATGCATCTGGAGAGGGAGGTGTAGAAGACCTGGGGTATATTTGCACTTCACTTTCACATCATGATCGTACCACTTTAAAGGAATCCAGGGTTCTGCAGTTTGACACAGGACTTAAAATTTTCTCTTAGGAATCACTAGTCTATTTATTTCCATATTTTATATGGGAAAAGTCAACCCCAGACATTTCCAGGAGGTCTGGGAAAGACCCTGGGAGGAAACTCTGAAGAACTGCTGCCAGTCAGTATAGACAGTACTGGGCAAGACCAAAAATCAAACTCAATATAAGACAGCTTCCTAATTCCATACCTTTTTTCAGATGGCTAATAGCTTGCTGCTAGGCCATCTTGGCAGGCAAAAGGTCCTGGGTTTGATCCCTGGTACCTCTCAGTAAGACTGGGAAATACTTCAGTTTGAAACCTTGTCAAGCTGCTGCCAGTCAGAGTTGATAAAATTGGATTAAATGTGTCCCAGATCTGAATTAGTAGAAGGCAACTTCTTAAATTCTTTCTTTTCTAGCTGTGAAATGGGATTGATATCAGCCCTCACTTCTCACTGGTTGTTCCAAGAATGAGTTCAAGGATACACCTTGAGATGGACAGGTAAGAAAGGGTCTGCAAATCATGTTTGCAAATATCAATGTTTTTCTCTTTCAGTAGTTCTATCTGTGCAAGGGGAGTAGAGGAGAAAGGGGCTAAAGTTGAAAGGAGACTATTTGGGTCATGTTCTTGCCAAATTACCTTGCACCAGGCTTCTTGTCTGCAGCAGAGTTGTGCCGTTGGCGAAGGAGACGAAAGCCCTGTTGTTGTGAAACAAAGAGGAAAAGTCATTGGGAGCGAGGGAAAAAAGCACCAAATCATCTCTCAACAGCTCTTCCAGTGATTATGGAGGGGAAACAAACAGGAAAGTGGGCACAAGTACTGCAAAATGTCAAGCTCCTTTAGGAAAACAAGAGCCTGCTCTTTTCTTCCTCTCTATTTCGGGAGCATCTAGGGAGCGAGGGATGGATTGTTATGGATAATCAATATTGTCAATTGGTACATGCCTTTCTTTGCACATCGAACACCTGGATGTCAGCCAAATGGCTTTTCTTGGTGACCATGGCAAAAGAGGGAAGCAATAAGCAAGGCTTCCGACAGAGCTGGCAATGCTGATGGAAGCAAATGTAATTCCACGACTGCAAGGAACCATTGGCAAAGGCGGTCTCCATTATTACACAGAAGCCTATTTTGCTCAGCCAATTCTCTCATATTTGGAACAGATGAGTTAGAGATTTGCACCCTCCTGCAAGAATTCAACAGCCTCCCCGTGTTTAGTAATTCAACCACAGAGGTCTTTGTTTATGGGGGAACGTGGAAAGGGATGTGCAAAGCCAATGGACAAAGCCAATCAGATGTGCAAAGCCAATCGGGGCCATTCCACATTGCACAATTATACTGCTATGATTTGACAGTAACTGCCATGGTTTCATCTTATATATATATATATATATATATATATATATATATATATATATATACTTGCAATTTAGGGATGGCTACTTAGATTTCTCAACCAAAAAGTTTGTTTCAATTGGGTGTTGCCATGGCAGTTAAAGTGGAATCATAGTGCTATACAGATATACCTCACTGAACACAGCCTCTGAGTTTTGCTAAGTTTTTGCCAAGTTTTACCAAGTCTTTTTTTACTCACCCACCCATCCTTCCTTTTATTTCTAGCCCTCTGTCTATCTGGGCAGAGAAACACAAGACTTTTGAGCTGCATCCGCACAGAGTTTGACACCGCTTTAGCTGCCGTGGCTCACTGCTGTGGAATTCTGGGATTTGTAGATTGGTGAGCTATTTCTCCTTCTCTGTCAGAGAGGGCTGGTGCAACCACAAACTGCAAATCCCAGCGTTCCATAGCATGGAGCCATGGCAGTTAAAGCAGTGCCAAACTTTCAGACACACTTAAAAATAAAAACAAAATAGTCTGAAAAAGTAGCTCTCTTAAGCTCAGAGGGCCATAAAAGTCCTCCCCAAACCATTCTAGTAGAAACTCGCTGATAATGAAGGATCACACTATTGTCTGCTGAAATCCTTAATTCTGATGACTTCTTGCCTGAGTAATGTTGACGTTTCTCTATAGATCTCCCTTCCTTTCTCTTTCTGATCTCTCTGAATCCCAGAAAATTGCCCTGATTTGCACTCCTTGGTTGAGTTGTTGGGATAATCCCATTGCCTTGCTAGATCATATTGGTAGACAATAGACAATAGTCTCTAAAGAATCTAGTCCCACTGCTTTCTTGATACAAGAAATCTAGAACTCATCGGAAGTTGTTCATAGACCATGGATTTCTCTCATCTTCGGGTGCATCTACACTGTAGAAACAATGCAGTTTGACACCGCTTGGCTCCATCTTACAGAAGCCTGGGATGTGTAGTTTTTGTGAGGCACCAGCACTCTTTGGCAAAGATGGCCAAGGACCTTATAAAACTATGAATCCCAGGATTCCACAGAATGGAGCTATAGCACTCAATATGTTTTCAAATTGCATTATTTTTACAGTGTCTAAGAGCTAGCGTGGCGTAGTGGTTTGAGTGTTGGACTATGAATCTGGAGAGCAGGGTTCGATTCCTAGCTTGGCCATGAAACTCGCTGGGTGACCTTGGGCAAGTCACACTCTCTCAGCCTCAGAGGAAGGCATGGGCAAACCCCCTCTGAACAAATTCTGCCAAGAAAACCCCATGATAGGTTTGTCTTAGAGTCGCCATAAGGCAGAAATGACATGAAGGCACACAACAACAACAGAAGATGTACCTTTGAGCCACGTGGAGTATCCACACTACACAATTACACCACTTTGAAGCCGCTTGAAATGCCATGGTTTCATCCTCTGGAACTTTTGGGACTTGTCGTTTGATGAGATACTCTAGTGCAATAATAGTTCAAGGGAGTGCAAGGGACTTATGTCCCAAAACTACAGGTCCCAAAAAGTCCATAGGATGGAGCCATGGCAGCTAAAGTGGCATCACGTTGCTATATTTGTACAATATGGATATGCCCATTCTGTGACTCAGTCCGACCTACTTTGCAGGATTGTTGTGAAAACCACACTCATTTCAAGGATGAGGGTGTAAGGTGTTTGGGGCAGGGACACTTCCATGACTCCTTTCCTCCGGTGGCCATGGTTTTTACCTTATTTCTGCAGACTCCCCATTGCCGTTACTTGGGGAAGTCCACCGTGTCCGAGCGCCGCTCCCAGAAACGTTTTTTTGCACGAGACTCTCTGTGTCGCTGCATGCAATGGGTTGGTTTTCGCTTTCCCAAAGGCCATTCGGACCCTCCTCAGAGGACACCGCCTGAAGGATAAGGGAGGTTGCATTTTCTATCCCGGTGACGGTTACTGGATGGAGAGAGAAAGCAAAAAAAGGAATTTTTATTGGGTTGAGCCTCCCATGGGAAAAAGAAAGGCCTGGGCCATAATGATGAGGAGCCAAAGGGAAATACATTCCAGAAAGTCTTAAGCATGGGTGTGTTTGGATTCCTGCACATTCCTATCTTTGGGTTTTTGGAAGTATGCATTTGGGGGAAATCTCTGACTCACAGGGAGTGACTAATCCCCCAAACTAGAAGGTGGGATCCTACAAAGAAGCATTTGCAATTGCAAGGACATTGATGATGCACGCCTGCAGCAATTTTGCAGACAAAAGAGAACAGAGAGAGGGGAAACCACAAGTATGGCTTTTGCAAAGGAATGGAGTTGACAGGAAACCAGGAACTCAATTCCTTGGTCATTGGTGAAGGCAAAATCCCCATAGTTTTGGAGGCTCTGGCCTCATTCATATGCAAGGCTGTGGAGCAATTGGCAGAGGATGGATTAGCAGAGTGAATTAATAACTGGAGAGCCCCTTGATTTGGAGTCCTGCTGCCATGAACGGATTCGGCGGTCTCGGTTCTACCATCTGGAGTATGGGTATAATAAAACAAATATGAGCAATGGTGACTGGTGAATCCCATGAGTAAATCTGCTATGGGTTTTATTTTGAATTTTAAAACTGCTACCCGAGACGGTTGCTGTGAGCTGGAATTAGTTAACAACAAATCCAACATGTTGAGTCCTGTCTTCCCAACTGGTCCAGTTTCATCCACAAGATCTCTTTTAAAATTCACATTCTGCAACACCCCAGAGATGTTGGGAAAGTACATCATCACCATCATCCACACCACCGGCCAGAAGTATGACGCTGCTGATGGTGTGGATGATGGTGATGAAGTACTTTTGGCACCTTTGTTGCCAACAATTTGGAGTGAGAGCATTTCAGGCCATTGCATGCCAGTGCCTTTTGAAACATTTTAGGTCTTGCCTCATCTCAGTTTAGCTGCGTCATGATCAGAAATGAATGCAAATCCAGTATGCAATCTCTTTGACTTAAAAGCACCTGAGTGTATCCTAGAAGGTAATTTTCTAAAATGGGGTTTCAGTTTCTGCTTGCCTCAGAGCCACAAAATGTGTGGAATCTGGCTCTGATTATTTTATTATGGATTATAATGTATTCCTTCAGTTTTGTAAGAGGAGGCATTTTGAGCTTGAGTTTTGTACCCTCCGTTGCTTCTCCAGTATAACACACTGGTTGTTGTTGTTGTTATTATTATTATTATTACTGGTACAGACCAAAAAATATTGTACGCGCTCAGCTTTGCTCTGGTGCCACAACCAACTACCATTCCCAGAATTCCATAGCATTGAGCCATGGCAGTTAAACCAGATTATTTCTGCAGTGTAGATGGACTCCCTGTCCCTCATGCCCTTCCTCAGTCATGATGGAGAGCTGATTCATTCAAGGGAGATTGGCAAAAACAAAAAACCTCTGCCCTGGTAGTGAAAAAGGAATATATTTTTTTCCATTGTGGTTGGGGATGATGCAATGATTTCTGTATCAGGTTTGACTGCAAACTTCAGGCTCTGCTGGGCTGATCCAACAATTACTTTGGCCAAATTGATGTGGGATGGCATGGCACATCTCCAAGATCCAACCTGTGCAATTCTTTGTTGTTGGTGTGTGCCCTCAAGTCATTTCTGGCTTATGGCAACTCTATCACAGGGTGGTTATTATTATTATTATTATTATTATTATTATTATTATTATTATTATTATTATTATTATTATTATGGGTACAGAGCGAGACAATTTGTTCAGAGAGGATTTGCCCATGCTTTCCTCTGAGGCTGAGAGCATGTGACTCTGAGGCTGAGAGCAAGGTCACCCAGTAGGTTTCCATGGCTGAGCAGGGATTTGAACCCTGGTCTCCAAGTCCCCCATTCCAATACCTAGGATATTATGCCTAATTCTAAGGTTGGGTAAGTTGATATTTTGATCGCTTCCAATATTGTCTGGGAGTTTTATGCTCTGATTCTGTTTTCTTTGAAACTCAGATCTTGGGAAAAGCAGAACTATAGCTCCCAAAACCTTCCCAACCAGCATAGCTACTGGATATTTGTCCAAACTTGGTATAAATTTATAGGATCTCTGTATTGGATCCAAATGACCGGACAATCTTTTACAAACTTATAGTCCAACCAAAGCATTATCGCCTGTTGTGCAAATATCTTTATAAACTACGTTCCACACATTTTTGCAGCAATCATATTTTCCATCTATTTTACAGATGAGAGACTAAATCCAACCGTGACTGGCATCCAAAGCTATCCAATCTGTCCAGATGTAGCTGGAAGGATCTGAACTCTGTTGTCATCACATTATCTTATGACTGTCAGTTGAGAGCTGATCTTTTCATAGCCAAAAACTAACTCAATGTTCTCTGAGTCTTGTAATAAAATTCAGGGAGAAAAAAACTCTTTCAACCCATGGCAACACAATTTCTCAAATTTTCTCTGCCTCGTTCCAGGAAGGCTAGTTTAAAATCCCAAGGAACTTGGCATCAGAGCTTGGAAAAGTTCAATTTTATTTTTTGGATCGCAGCTCCCAGAATCCTCCAACCAGCATTTTAGAAACTATAGTCCAAAGATAAAAAGGTGGAACATTCCCAAGCTTTGCTTGTAGTGACCGGTAAACCTGGATCCATCAGAGTTGAAAGCTCAGATTTGGAGCAAGAGTATTTAACTCTGTGCACCCAAAGGCCAAGAAAGTAGGAAGCCAGCCAGACAACTCTTGCAAAAATAATACATCCATTAGAAGAGATCCCAACAATTGATGATTGGCTTTCAAAATTAATTGAAATGAAAGAGATGGATAGATTAACAAGACTACTAAGTGGAAAAGATCCAGAATTGACGGAGGAAGAATGGACTCCTATAGAAAAATATTTAAAGTCAAGAAGGGAATAAACGGGCAAAGTAAAAAAAGTTATAAACAAATCAGGTATATAGAAAAATAATTGTGTAAAGGAATGTTATTTGGCTGTTGTAAGTAAAGGGTGTTATAAGTAAAGGTGCAATTAATAGATAAGAAATATAGAAAGGATAAATTTCAAGGGGTGAAAAATGTGTACTTAATATCAAAGAACTAAGGAGAAGTGTATAGAAATGTGTATAAGTATTAGATGAATATTTGTTATAAATAAGATATATTTTATGTATATTTATAAACTAATAAAATTTTTTTAAAATAATAATACATCCAGACAGGTTGTCTTCCACTTACCTGTATAGATGGCACCGGGTTTGTAATAAGGGGGAGACACATCTAGGTTGTAAGAGCCACGGCTCACGGTGTTTCGGATGATCTCGCAAGGTGGTGGCCGCTGCAGGTGAACCGGAGAAGCCAACAACAAGAGCCCCAAGGAGAGAAGCTGCAATGGAGCCTGGAAGGTAGTTGCCATGATGAAGCTCAGAGTGGTTCCTCTCCTCTTCCTTCTCCTTCCTGCTGATGCTCAAGAAGACCTGCCTGTCCTGTACCTGAGGTCTGGCAAGAAGGAAAGGAGTATTTATGCTGTCAGGGATTTGCAAATCCTTCTCCTTGCACACACCCACCTGGATGGGAGGTTTCAGCTGGTGACACATTCCTGGTGCACTTCCTTCTAGATGCTCCCATGGAGGACCTGGGTTGAGAGGAGAAGGGCCATCAGATGTCATAACCGTCAGATGTCATAACCGCAAAGGAGGACAAGGCACCGCAAAATGGAGGACGTTCAACAGGGGGACACGCGGCCAAATAAAAGCTAAAAACCACTCCAGTAAATGTAAATCCAGGCTTCTCAGTCATGCCCCAAATGGAGGACGTTTTGGAATTCCTCTTGGAGATGAAATGTAGGACATGTCCTGGAAGAGGATGTCTGGTCACCCTGGAGAAGGGGGGGGAAAGGATCAGGTACAGAGATCAGGGATCAATGGAAATACTTTAAAATATTTTTATTAAAACAACCACAAACATCATCATCATCATCGTCATCATCATCATCCTGCTTTCTCTCCAGAACTAGGACTCAGAGCATCTTACAATTTAAAAGAACAGTAAATTATGAACTTACAAAAGTGTTCAAAACCTACGCATGGATAAAACTTATAAATAAATAATAAAACATAAATAAATATTTTTTAATAAAAGCATACATACAGATCCACCCTAAATTTTCTATGTCTAAAACGCTCACACCTAACAAAGGATCTAAAACTAAAAACACAAAGG